TGGTGAAATGACTAAATTATTCCTCAACAAAAATATGGTTATAATGAACAACATGTACCGTATTTACACACTACGTACACATATTTATGAGAAATTATGCGAATATATTAATTAACAAGATGGACGGTTAATATCTTATATATAAAATTCTCGTGTCACAGTTTTCGTTCCCATACTCCTCCGAAACGGCTTGACCGATTCTCATGAAATTTTTTAGCGTATTGAGTAGGTCTGAGAATCGGCCAACATGTATTTTTCGTCCCCCTAAATGTTAGGGGTAGTCCACCCCTAATTTTTTTTTTATGGCAAAACAACGTTTCCCGGGACAGCTAGTAATATATAAAATTCTCGTGTCACAATGTTGCAGCAAAACTCCTATAAAGCGGGGTGATTATGAAATTGTTGTATACATAAATATATAGTACAAATAAATAAAATTGAAGTGTCTGAAATTTCAAATCAATGTACGTACGGTACTTACATAAAAAAGGTTTTTTTTGTCTATCTGTCTGTCCGTTTGTACTTGATAATCTCTGAAACAGTATAAACCGATTTTAACGGACTTTCACTCGCAGTTAGCTAATTTTATAAGGAATAACATACTCCTTATAATATTAACTATCTATGAATTTTAATTTCAGAATTTTACTTGGCTACTTTTATTTTTGAAATTTTATTTTCTTAATAAAAAAAAGGTATATTCTACGCGGTGGAAGTCGAGCGTAACAGATAGTAATAATATAAATGTCTGAGTTGGTGAATCATTGCCAGACTATACAACGATTTGTTCGGTATAATAGTACAAGTCAACATAATATTCTTATAAGGGATGCCTTTAGTATTGAAAACACATGAGCATCACCATACCGACCGTCGCCAAGGCAGCCCGGTATGCGCGAATCGACATAAAAATATTAAAGAGAAGGAATGTTCCGCGCATGGCACTAGAGCAGCGTTTCTCAACGCGGGGCCCAAGCCCCACGGAGGGCCAATTTGATTATAATGTCAATTCGAAAATGACTTGACACGACTTTAGCTCTTCTGCTCTGACCTCCACTCGGTTCCCCTGTAAATCATCATGTTGAATTCCTGGTGAATGGGCCAAGATGGGCTAACTGATTTGACCTCACACTCATCTTATCATCCTCCACTGGTGCCCCGCCATCGTATACCGTCATCCCTTCCAAAAAAAACCGTTCCGGATTATTTATATGTAGTGATAGATATCCGTGTCAAATTTAACGAAAAAAGGAAATTTATAAATAATTGATTTATCAATAAATTAAAATAGTAAATTAATCTAAGAAAATCTTTATTAAAATTACTTATAATTTGAATTAAAATTTTTCATTATATGTTTTGAAACTTTATTGACTTTTGGTTTTGGTTTTTTAATGTTAAAAATTATGTGTTACATAAGAATTTTAGAAAGGCTTAGGTGGGCCCTGCCAAAGAAAGGTTGGGAAACACTGCACCAGATGCACGTGGCCTCGGATCTAGAAAACTAGTGTTGGCTATTGTGGAAATAGACGTACGGACAAATGGAGCTATATATAAATTAACGGACTATTTCGATTGCTACAGGTGCGCCGAAATCGTATGGAACAAGTAAAGTGTTGTTGACGAATCGTGGGAGTGCGAATCAAGGTGCAATATTCATATTTGTAGATTACTAGTGGCCCATACAGGCTTTTTATGGGTGGGCTATCTCTATGGGTGGGCATTTCTTAAACATTTTGGGGTAAACGTAGATAAAAACTATCTTTTACACCTTGGCATTTATTAGTGAAGTTTTAGCAGGGATTCCAATATTTTTCGAGTGATCAATATAATCTATGTTACTTCTTTCATCATCATCATCATCCTCAGCCTGTGTCTATCCACTGTTGAATATAGGCCTTTCCCAAAGACTTTCACCATATGCGCTCTTCCGCCTTCCACGTCCATCCACTCCCGGCCACCTTCGTAATGTCGTCGGTCCATCTTGCAGGAGGGCGCCCGACACTCCGTTGACCCACACGCGGCCTCCACTCCATAACCTTTCTTCCTCATCTATCATCGCTGACTCTGCTGTAATGCCCGGCCCATTGCCACTTCAGCTGACATACTTTGATACTTTTATTACTGATACATGTTACTTCTTTACTAAGGGGTATCTAAACTTTTAATTATGAAAGAATTTTTAATATTGGTCTAGTAGTCTATTCGTTACAAACTTAAATAAATACAAGCCTTTCCTCTTCATAATTACCCTGGGTTAACATCAACATCAATTCTCACAGCGCCATCTAATATTATTATTATTAACTATATGTTTTAAATACCTTAACCTTATTTTTTAAATACTATACAAACCATATTTAGTTACTGATAAATATCTGTATATATATATGTATTTATTTTGTTATTTATAGACAAGTTGCGAGGTAACTGATTATGCTGGCATGTTATGCGGAGGAACGAGGATCATGTCTTATGGAAAGTATAACATGAACCTGAATGGATGGAAAGGGTGAAGACTCCGTAAAAAAAGATAGATGGATTGTGTGACAGATGATATGAATAAAAGAAGAGTATGTTCAGATATGACGGCCGATAGAGAGCAGTGGATGAGAATGACATACTGCGCCGACCACAATTATGATATTAAAAATATTAGTTTAGAGAGTGGGATGTCATTAATGTGGACTTTTGATCCCATTGCTAGCATGGCAAGTTCACCTCCACGCAGTTCCCCTCTGGATTTCACTGTGATAAATTCATGGGCTTCTTGACCTCATTTCATACTTTTGTCTTATTATCCTCCACTGGTGCCCTGCCAGCGGAAACCGTATGCTCAGGCGGGTGTGCCAATTCATTATACAGCCTAGTTTAGAAAACGTATATATAGGATCTCGTTTGCTATCACATGGTGAGGTCAGGTCCGCCGTTGCATCGAGGGTGCGTCCGCATTCCCTATACGGAAACTAGGACAGATTGTACAGTTTGTTCCAACTTGGGTTACTGTGATGTCACCACTTGTTACAATATGATCTTAAAAAGGTGCCGTGTGGGCGTCAGAACGCCAAATGTTTACGATTGGTGACATTAGCAAGTGCCACTACTGCCCACTAATATGTTATCAAATCAAATTAAATTTACATTGCGATAAATATAGGTCTATTTGAGATGTGGTTGTGAATTTTTATATTCCATTATGTTGCGCTTCCTTAGGCATGCATAATTAAAAAAAATCATACCTTGTTCATACTTTTTCCATAAAATCAAATATAAACACACTTGCTGTGCCTGCGGATTCATCCGCGTGAAACTAATAGCCTATGTGTCAGTTTTATGTATCATTACATAATATAAAACAAAGTCACTGTCGCTGTCTGTACGTCCATATATAACTTAAATCTTTAAAACTACGCAACGGATTTTGAAGCGTTTTTATTTGTAATAGATAGAGTGATTCAAGAGGAAGGTTTATATATATAATATGTGTACACCCGGGCGAAGCCGGAGCGAGTAGCTAGTAAACTATATTATAAAGTTCCATGAAAATCCGTTGAGTAGTTTTTGCATGAAAGTTGTAACAACCATCTATTTATCCATCCATACTTTCACATACTCACAAAGTTTCGCATTTATGATATTAATAATATGTAAGATTATCACGTTATTAGATACTTAAACATTTCGTTTAAAGAATTTGTAGAGAAGAACATTTGTAGAGTAACCTATAAATTTATCTCGGAAAGTTTTCGATACAATATAGATTTTCGTAAATAGGTGTTGTGTTTAATAAATCCAGTATGGTATGTCTCGCCATGCTTTGTCAACTTTGAAAGGTCATCATATGTTATCTATCGATCGGAGCTCGTTTCAAAGCGCTTGACGTCACCATCTACATTTTTCATCGCGATAGGGACAAAGGCGTTCTAATGTCGCTGATCGGCTATTATTTCCAATTTTCGTTTTCCAAGCAATCCTCGTAATTGAGGTCGTTTTTATGTATCGCCCACAGTAGGTCTTACGTCGCTGTTTGATAACGTTGTTTCGTCGGTTTTATTAGCCAATATAGCGTCATTTCTTTAAAGTTTACCAAATTTGTGATCTAATATAGGGTGGTTATTGAATTATAGTTTCAGTTGTAACGTTAAACGATTCTTTTATAAGTAATGATCGAGTTTCATATGCAATTTCACCTTCGCACACGACCGTACTCGGTGCGTGTGCGTCACGGTTCATTGCCTTGAGTACGGAAAGAGATCCTAATATGGCGGTCGGCGCAGGCGCAGGATTGCCTTGCGCCAACGCAGATCGTGCAGCCATTTCAAACGATTCGTCTGTCACGAGAGTACATGTCTTTTTGCATTAGATGATGTCTAAACACCTCATTCACTGTGAGGTGTAAACACCTCATTCAAATTACTCGTACATGGAAAGAGAAAAATGATGGTAAAATATTAATGAAAGCAAATATAGAGCAAACTGTGAGACTGAGATATTGCCAAATATGTGTTGCTCATGGTTGAGATGTCGGAGACGAGTGGCGGATTCAGCGGAAGCCACCACTCCTATGGAAGGGTTTGAAACGTCAGAGACACCCACTGAGGAAGTGCAGGAAGAGGAACATGAGCTTAAACCACGTAAGACTTGGCACGAACAACAGTAAATCTTGCACCGCGTTTTATAGGGTTTATTTTGGCTTCTTGCACATTTGTCGCGATTGCTTGCGGATTTTGTTCAAGCCTAGATGGATCTAGCCGTTTGCGTTCAGACATTGCGTCACCCCCGTATGATTCACGAACTTTGCAAATCATTGTAGTATTGCGGCAATTGAATTTCTATTGTATAACCGTCGGCCTATTCGTATATTTTGTAACAAAACCTTATATAACTAAACAAAATTTTTACAGCAAATAAATTAGCCTCGTTTTATTTAGTTTAGTATTGCTTCGTATTAGTTCACTAAAGTTATGGATTGATGTTTATAATAAAAAAAATAATTACAGCGCCATCTCGTGTCACCCGCAACAATCAGATGCGGTTGTCGAATGCAGGCGGGGCATACACCAATGGCCACGGCGGGGACACGACGGGCCGGCGGGGGGCGGAGAACGTGCCTCCGCAGCAGCCAACCCAGCAACCGCCACCCAACTCCAGGGTTACACAACAGGTGAGACTTCCTGGATAGTTTTTCTGGAATATAAACTCTACTAATCATTTGATTCAGTACGTATTCGTTTGACACGATCTTTGAACCGTGATCAAACTTTTTGTGTATCTCAATAGCGGTAAACAAAGTTACGACCCCTAAATAGTGGTATGTAAATAATTTAGCTCCTAGTCTTTGCCTAGTCCAAACAACCCGAGTTGCTCCCTTTTAATTAGTACCGTACCATGTTATATATTTTTTTTTATATATTTATTTCCGACAGCGGTCTCTGACCTTGTTAGTTTGTTCTATTGGTATTAATTTAGTATCATTTTATGAGTTTTTTGTTAAGTGAAAATAGAGTTTTTCATTTAAGTGTAAATAGCTTAATTTGGGTCTAGACCCAAATTAAGCTATTTACAGTTCACACAGCGCCATCTAGATGGCGGTGTGTGATTATTAATAATATTATTATTAAGTGTAATTCCAAAACAATATTGTTTAAAGAAAATCTGACTAGTGATTTTTTTTATTAAGTGACGCCTTATCCTTATCCTTTATTCTACCTTAATTAGACTGAAGGTCCATGCCCTTTTTTGCATTTTGCTACTAGACTGACTAGTGATATTAGTTACCTTATCTTATGGACAAAATTTCATCGAGTTTAAGAAAAATTCAATAGTAACAAGTTTTGTATGGAGAGGAATTGGAGACATGCAGCCCTAATTTGATGGCTGTCATATTAACCAGTGGTCAGCCGTCATCTATAGACATGACAACACAACACAAATTATGTAATACATAATTAAGTTTATTGTCATACCACATCTAGTCTTTTACCTCTTGATGGTGCCTAAAAACCGTTGGCTAGTTTTAGAACGAAACCCAAGCCTGCAAATAATAATCTCGGTGAGTTACGTAAAACTACCATCATTATGTTGCCATTAGTCAAAAATAAAAAGAACTCAATTTAGTAACGTGGGAATTAGAACATGTACCATATTCATTATTATATATATTATGATTATTTGATGGTTCTAATGTTCTCCTGTTCTACATAATCGATTTTTTTACGCATATAGCGAGATTTCGATTTGATCCTTATTCGAGTCAAAATTTATGTCGCGCTATGTTACCGTTTGAATATTGTATTTAATCGATTATTTTAAGAATGCACTTCGATTATTCTATTTGATTACAATTATTTTTTTCGGAATTTCTTCAGCGTGCCTTAACAGCTTAACCGGATGTTCGGACGATCTTAATTCGTGTTAAAACCCGAATTAACTATTTTGATAATAACTTATAAGGCCATCTGCTTATTGGCTGAAATAAGTGATATAGAGACAAAAATAGTCATGTAGTGTGACTTCCGAATTCTTCCTATAATCCTTGCAGCCTCCGTCGTCTGGAGGACGCACGCGAGCTGGTAGCACGCCCAGTGCCGCCTGCGTGCCCCACGGAATACAGCAGACCTGTGTATCTCACTTACAGCGGCGGATACATAAGGAGGTTCCTCTACCTGTACCCATTCCCTTCATCCTATAATATAGACATGCTGGATAGATATCATATGTTATTTGTTGATATATTTTACGGTAAAGAAAAGATACATTAATAAATAGATTGAGAGAAAATCGATTGATTAGTTATTTGTAGCTTCAGCATTCATATAACAAAAATCACAAAAAATTGTGACAACAAAAAAGTTACATATTAATTATATACATAGTATTGCTGAAATTGTATATGTTAAAAAAACTACTGCAGTTTGACTCATACTGTTAGTTTTTGAGTAGTATGTTAACTATAGTCAAGTTACGGTTAGTTTAGGACTAGATGGCGCTATTTTAGTTGTTATAGATTTGAAAAAACCATTTTTAGTCAATTTTCAATTCAAATCTATTAATACAGAATGTGACTTGCAGAGTAGAGTGAATTTGTTTAACAGATACTGCAAATAGCGTCCTTTTCTAAAAATAATTGTAAAATTAAGTCACTGCCGGGAAAACTTTGTATGTTCTGATGAATAATTACCAGTTCTAATCGCTTTCCCTTTGTCCTTGTCAAGTAAAGATTCTACTAAATTGCTCAGAAACACTCACTTGAATTGTAATATTTATAAATAATATTGTGTTGTTGCAGTTGAGTAAATAATATTAATATACTTTTGTATTACATATTGAATTTATAATAATGCTCTATTATACATTTGTATGCAGTAATTATGCAGTTCATTTATAGTTATTGAGTTGTTTCCATTATTTTGTGTGTATTTAAATTGTAGTTATACTTTTTATAAATACAATTCTACCACGCGGTTTTGTTCGTGTGAATTTAAGATATTTAGGCAATCCGGATTACCTAAATATCTTAAATTCACCCTCCATTATCTACTGTACCCGTGTACCATCAGATGGGCTGTATGCTTGTTTGCCACCATGGTTTTATAAAAAAATATGTAATAGGTATTCGTATTCTATACATGGAATTTCAGAGAGAATCCAGTGTTACAAACCATCAGATGGACTGTAAGCTAGTTTAGATTTAAAAAAACTTATATTGGAACCGTCATGTTTCAGTTCAACGCCCCCGCGACGGGCGTGGGCGGGGTGACCGCGAGGGGGGCGGCCGCGGTGTCGAGCACGGTGTCGGTGCCGCACGCGGTGGCGTCCGGCGCGGTGCGGCGCTCCAACGTCGTCAAGGAGGTGGAGCGCCTCAAGGAGAACCGCGAGAAGAGGCGCCAGCGGCAGGCTGAACTCAAAGAGGAAAAGGTACCCCTTATATATTAATACATGAAGAACTCTGTACCCCTTATGATATCTAAACGCTAGATTCTATGTCAATTACAACACGTCGGTTAAATAGAAAAATGACAGTATTCAAAATGTAAATTTTTTTACAAGACAAGTATTAAAAGTTTCTTTTTTTTTAATTTATTTAAATTATTTTTTCCTTTAAAGTTTTAAATTTACACAGAAGTATCAAGTACCATTTTAAAAGTATTTAGATAATGATTAAGACGGCGTGGTTAATTTAATTGACTTATATAAAAGGAGGCAATTCTATCTTCTAATTTTCTAATTTTGAAAAATGTCATATTTCTATTTAATCGAGGGCATGTAGAAAGAAATGCAGACATTTTAGTAGCACCCAATATTATATTAATTAATACTGTCGAGGTGTTTTTTATGGATGACAATGAAATGGTCTGATGAAATGATGACAATGGATGATTAATGATAAATTGAGAGTAATGAGGTAATTAGTCAACATTACTAACAATCCTCTTCCCCCCAATATTGCCGAGTATGAACTTTCTTATGGATATTAAGTACTGTAGTTTTTACTTAGATAATTAATTTTTTAGGTTTAGTTAGGGTACCTTATAAGTCAGGGACAAGGTGGGGCAAGCGGCCCACCATGCCCCACCGTGGCTAAGCCCATGTATGGCCTCTGTATACCAAGGGTAAATAATAGCTCATAATAATAAGACTGTTAACAATGTATAAATTTGTGTTTAATTTACTTGCCTATGCACGCATCACAACAAAATAAAAGAAAATAGTAATTGTAATGTTGAAATTTCTCTTTTTATTTTAATATATGTAATCTACAATTGATCTGGAATGTTCATTCGTCTGATATGACAAATCTACTCTACTCACTGATCTAGAATAGTTAAATATATCTGGCAATTCTTTTGTGGACTCCAACAATACAGGGTCGTCTAGTGCGGGGTCCAATGTATAATAAACTTTAAAATATTTGTATGTTTGAAAATAAATAAAACAAAGTTGTACAAAATATTAATTACGGACTAATAATTTATTTTCCAGGAAGCCCTAATGAACATGGACCCTGGCAACCCCAACTGGGAGTTCCTAGCAATGATCCGCGACTACCAGAGCAGCATCGAGTTCCGGCCGTTGACGGGCAACGAACCCGTGGAAGATCACCAAATAACAGTATGCGTGCGGAAGAGGCCGCTCAACAAAAAGGAACTAACTAAAAAGGAGGTGTGTAACTCTTATGTAGTTGGAATGACGAATCCGTCATACTCGTGAACGGGCGCTGCTTGTAGGGACTGGTCTGGTCTAATCACTACAACTGATTTAAATTTATTGTGTATTATGTAATATTTTGATTCTAATGAATTAGTCCTAGTTGGTAGTTTGTATTCTCATATTTCAACTTTAAAAATGTAAAGTCTAGAAATTTGCGTGTTGCTCTTTTAAATAATTGTATATTTATAAATGTTAAATTGTGCTTTCCAAATAAGCTGTAGTTAAAAAAAAATTATCATGATATGATTATTTGTGTGTTCTGGTAATTTAATGTATGTATTTCCAAAAAATATATCTATATATTTATAACAGTTGTCCAGTACCCATAACACAAGCTCTGTTTGGCCTGGAACTAGATGGCGGTATATGGGTTGCCCTGAAATATTTTTCTATATATTATAGATTTCTTTTAACATTGATAATGTATTGATGCACCCGCTTGCGCTAACGGTTTACGCTGGCGGGGCACCAGTGGAGGATGATAAGATGAACAAGGTCAGGTCAGTTAGCCCATAGTGACGAATTCACCATGAATTTATCACGATGGTTTCCAGGGGGAACTGCATGGAGGTGAACCATCAAATAGCAATAACTAGCAATGGGGACAAGAATCCACATTACTAACAATTCCTTCTCCCTATATTATAGAATTGTACTGAGACATTATGTATTATATTGTTATATTAAAATCCCCATTGAATTTCCTTAGGTTGCTATAAGTATTGATGGTATATGTATTGTATGTACTGATGTACGTGTATAATTGTATTTCAGGTGGACGTAATCAGCGTGCCGACACGGGACCAGATGATCGTCCACGAGCCCAAGAACAAGGTGGACCTCACCAAATACCTGGAGAATCAGAAGTTTCGCTTCGACTACGCCTTCGACGATTCGTGCACCAATGAAGTTGTTTATAAGTAAGATGCATTTTATATTGGAACATGTTATATTGATTAATTGATATAAAAAATTGCTGGCTTTAAAATTAAATTTAATGAGTGTTCTTACAGATTTGTTGCCGAAGGCAATCTTTTTGGTAGTTTTTATAAGTGTTTTATATGTTTTTGAATTGTATATTTTGAGTTTATGTTTTTATATACCGTTTGTTTTCTAATGTCATATTCGCTTTACGTTTTTGCTTGCGAGCTGATTTCACATATTTTACCTCACCTAGAAATGTGTCTCATTTTAAACCAGCCTTAATACAGTCCTTCCGGCACAACATTACTAGCAGATCATCTAAACCTAAAGTTTTCCTTAATAAATATATAGTAGATTATATTGCATTGCGCAAAAACAAAAAGAACTAAATGTGGAAGCTATACCTTTAGTTTAAGAATCAAATATATAGCTTATTACTATTGACACATTTACCTAAGTTAGGCAAATATAAATAGTATGCCTTTCCCCATTACTGCCCTTCAACCGCTTTCTGTTTTTACACAATGGTTAGCTGGTACAGAATGCTATATGGCATTAAGTTCGCCAATTGTACATTATGTTTGATAGTACAATAAAGGATAAATAAATAAAACAGACCATCAAAATTTACACGTTATTTTTTTTTAAGATTTTTATGTACAAAATATGACAATGACAATCCCATCGTACCTATACTAAATATTCAAATTAAAAAAGAATTTATTTATGTAGAACATTTTAGCCGCTTATGAACGTCAAATTTTTTATTTTATATTTTTTCCCTACCGTTCAGTTGTTGACAATGATGTACAATGTATTGTGCAGGTATACAGCGAAGCCGTTAGTGCAGACGATATTCGAGGGCGGCATGGCGACCTGCTTCGCATACGGACAGACGGGCTCGGGGAAGACACACACCATGGGTGGAGATTTCCAGGTACATATTCAGTTTTTTAAAAAAGAAACAGACTTATTTTTTTTCAAAGATAGAAGTGGAGATATACATATCATCCATTGATAGCAATTGATTCATTAGCTCTCATTACTAACAGTCTCCTCCCGTTTCTAGCACATTTTCTTAATAGATGTTGGCGACCGGCCGCCGCAACCTCTTTTGATACTTTTATTATTTTTAAATCTATATTTTTAGAACAGTTCTTTTTATACGTCATGTTTTTTGATACATTTCAATTATTCCATAATTGTCTTTCGTATAGTTCGCAATTGCACATATTAATATATTATTATTGCAAACTACGTGTTTTCATCATTTAGACACCCATACAGTCCACCGATCCATTATAATAGATGATAATGTAATTATCCACCCGCTGGCGGTAAAGGATTACGCTGGCGGAACCAAAATAAGGGATGATAAAATGAGCGTGATTTTAGATCAGTTAGCCCATAATGACAAATTAAATGGCTAATTTGTCACGATACGATAACTGACCTAACCTCATGCTCATATGTTATTTGCATTTCGGCTAACTGACCTAACCATATGCTCATTTGCATGGTCAGAATAAAACTAAGGTACTAACTAACTAACTAACAACCTGCCATAGGACACCCACTTTAAGATGGTTAAGATCATGTTAAAGATTATTCCAAGCTTGCATCTCACATCTCAATTTGTGTAGTATACATTTAAGTATATTTTCATGTATTTATTATACAGGGTAAGACCCAGGACTGTAAGAAGGGTATATATGCAATGGCGGCGCGAGACGTGTTCGCGTACCTCAAGTCGCCCAAATACAAGCCACTGAACCTCATCGTATCGGCATCGTTCTTCGAAATATATTCTGGGAAGGTAATAAGCCATTATATTCTTTGTGTCTGTTGTTGGAGGGTTTATTTTCCTGCGAGGATAGTTGTGGCCCAATAATAAAATTGGTTGCTAAATTTCTTATACATTTTAGCGTTTACAATGTTTATACTAGTGAAACTATGGAGTACTGTATTACAAGAATGATGAACGGAAAGTTGCTATATATAGATTTATAGTATACCGTCTATAATTATTATATGGCAACACACAATAATAGTATTGTAATTATTGTGTGTTGCCATATAATAATTATAGACGGTAGGGAAAAAAAATATAATGTAAAAACTTAATGTTCATAAGCGGCTAAAATGCCCTACATGAATAAATGATTTTTTAATTTGAATATATTATTGTGTTGAAGTTGGATAAAAAACAAAATATATTATAAACTAAAAATGTAATTAATCTGTGGTCTGTATTCTGTAGTATTATATAGTCTGTACAGTGTGAGTTGTTAAATTAGTGGAATAAAAAAATTGTCGAGAAAAAAAAGTGTGTGTTTGAGTTTTGAAGGTTGTTTTTTAGTGAAAGAATCCTTCATTTGCTAAATTTAACAAAAATATAGTATTGCCAACAGAGAAACATCTGACTGTCTAATATATTTATTGGTATTGCAATTTCAAACACAATTTATATTGTTGTTGAATTATATAAATGTAATGAAGTGGTAGTGCAATAAAAGTGTCTTTTAACAGGTGTTTGATTTGCTAGCGGATAAGGCGAAATTGCGTGTACTAGAGGACGGCAAACAGCAAGTGCAGATCGTTGGACTAACAGAGAAGGTGGTGGACAATGTCGACGAGGTCCTCAAACTTATACACCACGGGAACGCAGCCAGGACTTCCGGACAGGTATGTCGTGATGATGGGAGATCTATAGATTTAGTTCTGTTTCGTGGCATGCATAATCATATTGTGTATGCCACGATGTAGGTTTTTATTGTATTTTCGGTTCATAATTATTGAAAGGTTTTGTTATTCGGCCGGCCATGGATGCAAGAAGTAAAAGTCAAGCCAGCCTTATTGAAAGTCTTGCCACAGATTACATATATAATATGATTGCATCTAATGTTTCATGTTAAATTATTCCACAGATTTTTTTCCAGTGACACGTTTAATATTTATAAATTATCAGTAACTATAATTATGTCTTTGATCCATAGTCAGATGTTCACCATGTTATAATGATATTACAAAAAGACGCTAAAGCACCCACGATTGAAGGACGTGGGAATACGCTCGCTCGTAATTGTCTTTTTTATACGCATATTTTTTACTGCGTCATAGGCGTGAAAGAGCATAAAGGCAACTAACGTTGCCTTTACCAATGTGGCCATTGCTTTGTAAGTTCTCCGCTTTCAAGGGTGAATTATGACAGAGAAATTATAGGGTGTGGAGGCTTAATAACTTAGGGCTTATGAATGACAGTACGTTAGAAGACGTTAAAGCAACCACGGTTGGAAGACGCGGTAGAGCGCGATCTTCCTCGTAATCTTTGTCTACATTTAGACGCATAGTATTTCCTGCGGCAAAGCCGACTCGCGTGTGATAGAGCGTGCGTCTAACACTACTTTCTGCGGGAAAGCCTATTCGCGGTTGAGAGAGCGTACATGTAAAGGCAGCTATTTACATGCACATTCTTTACTGCGGGAGAGCGGATTTGCGCGTGAAAGAGCGTACGGAAGGCAGGTAATGAGTGTTGTATTCTATTTCCAGACATCTGCGAACTCGAACTCGTCGCGGTCTCACGCGGTGTTCCAGATCATCGTGCGGTCGCCTGGCATGCATCGCGTACACGGGAAGTTCTCGCTCATAGACCTCGCCGGCAACGAGCGCGGAGCAGACACCTCCTCCGCCAACCGGCAGACCAGTACGTACCACCTGCTCTTCATTATCATCATCATCATCTATAGGTGTCGTCTCAGATCTGTATGTCGCACACGCTCATCTGGTTCATCTACTATATTTGCAGTCTCAGATTAGTACGCCATACATGCCTCATCTTGTTCTTCTATAGGTGCTGTCTCAGACCAGTACGTCGCACCTGCTCATATCAAGTATGAGTAGGTGCGACGTACTGGTCTGATTGACGACTTTGACCTAGTCCGTCGTCGTACTGGGACAGATCTGTGTGATCTCGTGTGAGGCCCATGAATGACATGCTCGATTTTATACGAAACGTACCTCTGGCAATTGTTTATAACATGTATAATATAAAATGTTTTTAATAATAATAATAGGCCGGCTTGTTTTTTTTTAAACTGCGCCAATCTGATGGTAAACAGTTACAGAAGCCTATGTAACATGAGGCAGCAGGAGTGTCACGTGCGCGTTGCAAACCCTAACTCTAAAACCCCAACCCGCTGTTCCAGGAATGGAGAGCGCGGAGATCAACAAGTCTCTGCTGGCGCTGAAGGAATGCATCCGCGCTTTAGGCATGAAAGGCAACAACCACCTGCCGTTCCGCGTGTCCAAGCTCACGCAGGTGCTGCGGGACAGCTTCATCGGGGACAAGTCGCGCACCTGCATGATCGCCATGATCTCGCCCGCCATGTCCTCCTGCGAACACTCGCTCAACACGCTCCGATACGCCGACAGGTACCACATACTCAACTATATCGTTGTAGTCGCACCTCATGATCGCCATGATCTCGCCCGCCATGTCCTCCTGCGAACACTCGCTCAACACGCTCCGATACGCCGACAGGTACCACATACTCAACTATATCGTTGTAGTCGCACCTCATGATCGCCATGATCTCGCCCGCCATGTCCTCCTGCGAACACTCGCTCAACACGCTCCGATACGCCGACAGGTACCACATACTCAACTATATCGTTGTAGTCGCACCTCATGATCGCCATGATCTCGCCCGCCATGTCCTCCTGCGAACACTCGCTCAACACGCTCCGATACGCCGACAGGTACCACATACTCAACTATATCGTTGTAGTCGCACCTCATGATCGCCATGATCTCGCCCGCCATGTCCTCCTGCGAACACTCGCTCAACACGCTCCGATACGCCGACAGGTACCACATACTCAACTATATCGTTGTAGTCGCACCTCATGATCGCCATGATCTCGCCCGCCATGTCCTCCTGCGAACACTCGCTCAACACGCTCCGATACGCCGACAGGTACCACATACTCAACTATATCGTTGTAGTCGCACCTCATGATCGCCATGATCTCGCCCGCCATGTCCTCCTGCGAACACTCGCTCAACACGCTCCGATACGCCGACAGGTACCACATACTCAACTATATCGTTGTAGTCGCACCTCATGATCGCCATGATCTCGCCCGCCATGTCCTCCTGCGAACACTCGCTCAACACGCTCCGATACGCCGACAGGTACCACATACTCAACTATATCGTTGTAGTCGCACCTCATGATCGCCATGATCTCGCCCGCCATGTCCTCCTGCGAACACTCGCTCAACACGCTCCGATACGCCGACAGGTACCACATACTCAACTATATCGTTGTAGTCGCACCTCATGATCGCCATGATCTCGCCCGCCATGTCCTCCTGCGAACACTCGCTCAACACGCTCCGATACGCCGACAGGTACCACATACTCAACTATATCGTTGTAGTCGCACCTCATGATCGCCATGATCTCGCCCGCCATGTCCTCCTGCGAACACTCGCTCAACACGCTCCGATACGCCGACAGGTACCACATACTCAATAAGTTGCCTTCCTTGTCTTGAAAAAAATATGTATCTCTTTCAAAAATTCCAATTTCAATATGTTTTTCGGCATTTTATTACATTGTAATTTGAACTTTATGTAACACGTAGAAAAATATAAAATTGATATGCGTCCGAGCGATCTCTTCTACAGCGAGCTAAACATGAACTGATTTCATGAACGCAAATGCGCTTGTGGCAATTTTAGTCATAATGCGCGCATTATAACGCTTAATAGGGGCTCGGGTCGCATGCCACCAACACCACGCACCAATATGCAGCCCACCTTATTGAAGGAGGACTACTGGCTGAAGGGGGTGGTATATTGGCGCTACCGTGGCAGATTTCTGTCATCAGTGCCGTGAACACACAGACATTTTATATTTTATTAGTACTACTATTTCATATGTATGTCTATAAGGTATTTTTAATAGGACTTTAGTAGCCTGAATTAAATAAATAAATAAAGTTTACCCCAATAGGGTGAAAGAGCTGGGTACGAGCGAGGGTCGAACGCGCGTGGAGTCTCCGACCGGGGAGTTGCCTGTCGACTGCGACGTGGACATGGAACCCGCACCCCGACGAGACAGAGACGACCTCGCGCAGCTGCGCTCCCTCAACGTTAGTATGCCTTTTCAAAAGATTTTTTGAACTTTTTTAGGAACGGCTCATTAACAGATTTAATGATACTTAACTAAATATTCATTAGTGATAATTGCCGTGCGACCTGGCTACCAATCAACCATTTTTTTTATAATGACAATCTATTTGCGCCAACTGTTTACGCTGACGGGGCACCAATGCAGGATTATAAGATGACCACGAGGTCAGATCACTTAGCCCTTTGTAGCAAATTACCAGGAGTTTATCACAATGGTTTCCAGAGGGAACTGCGTGGTGGTCAACCTGACATAGTACTTTGCTAGCGATTGGTTTATCAGCCCATATTACTAGCAATCCTCTTTCCCTCACTAATCAACTGTTAGTTGTCTCTGAATAGGTCATTTTTTAAATCTACACTAAGGAACTGCCTAAGTAACTATTTGACGTCTCTGAGCGCGGCGGTTAATGTTTTAATTATGTATAGGAGGGTGATATGTCAGCGGAAATGTACACGTTCCACGAAGCGATCGATGAGCTGCAGCGCGCCGAGGAAGAAGTGCTGGACAATCACAAGGCCATCTCGGACTACCTGCAGCACGCGCTGCAGCGCTGCAACCAGCTGCTCGCCATCACCAGGGACGTCGACTACGACCAAGACGGTGAGATGCACATATATCTATCTATACAGCTATGAACATTAATACATAGAACTGAATAGTAAGTAAGTGGTTTTAGAGAGGTATATACAGAGTGTAAACTATTCAATCTGGTAATTGGTCAAAAATATTAGTCCTAAAATACCGAAACCATTCTGAAACAATCATATCAATAGACATCATGTTGTAGTGTTTGTGCCATACAAACAATTTTCCCCGATGAGCACTGGCCGAAAGTTTCCACTCTGTGTGCGCGTTGCAGGGATGTTGTGTGAGCGCCGCTGGAAAAGATTGCGAGCCGCGAGCGACGGCCTTGGTCCGCCACGTACGCGCCGGATGTTAGGTTTGAAGACCACTCTCTCATCTGCTCTTAACTCTTTCCCCTTCCCCTCATCCATACCTTATTATCTTCTTTACATAAATAAAATACAATAGTAAATTCGTGACGAAGCTAAAACTGACCGTTAGTATGCTAAAGTTATACATGTATAAACGAAATCCTTTGGAAAATACTCTATTCTGAGGAGATAAAAACAATTGCTCCTAAGAACATACTTAAATCTTCTCACTGACGGGCCTAGGCAGCGAACTCTCATGAAGGGTGAGCACGATAGATCTATGCAAGTTGCAGTGCTACTGATTCTCTCTAACACCCAGTAGTAGCCCAAAACCATACAGAAAATACCTATACCGATACAAACAATCAAACTCAGAGCAAAACGGTGTGCTATAAATGTATATGTAGTACGTATAGCGTATACAAAAAAATGTACAAATTGCAAAACTAGATAAATTATGAAAATTCCAAATATCTATTTAGCTCTTCAATTGTTTTGTCCTTTTCTTACGTAAAGATATTCCCGTATAACCCGTCTCTGTCCCATACGTCCCTGTAACCCGCCATTGCGTACCATCCGCATCGCTTCGTTACGTTAATACCAACGCTGTCGCTCATAGGTCTGAATGTGTCATATTGGATTCATATATAATAAATTAACTGTATGCCTGGACTTTTGAAATATATATTTTACAATTTATATTGAATTTATAATTTCATTTTATTATAATTAAATAATATGGTTATATATTTAATGTCATAGTATAATAAGGTTTAAGGTGTACTAATTTATATTCTTTCACAATTTTTTTCTTTTCTTGTATATATATTAAGAGATTATATATATAATAACAGAAAAGAATAAGATATTTATATATCAACAGTTTAATACCATTATTTCTAATTCTAATTATAACAAACAATATTCAACTTAAAGACATTCATAGAAATAATAATCATCCTAAATTTAAGCTTATCTAATTATAAACGAGATAAGCGGTACCTATCCCTCATTCTCAATGAAATATATATTCCAGCTTATGCGACGCAGTGGGAAGAGTTACTGAACGAACAGCTCGCAGTGCTGGCCCAGTCTCGGGATCTCGTAGCTGAGTTCCGGTCTAAGATGCAACAAGAAGAACACATCTCGCGGCGCATACAGCCGTCGCGACATCATTAGCCGCCATCAGGCAACTGGCCACTCACACAAACAGCGGCTCCGATGGACTAGCATCCAGGGCCGTAAACAATTTAAAAACAAAGAGCAAGCGGTTACGTAGCGTCGATATGTGTAATTTTATAAATTTATTTTTGATTTTAAAACGGCGAATACAGAGGTTTAAGTTTAATTTTGGCTGTAAATGTACAGTATATAGGGATTTAGCTATTTCGGAGGTTAAAAGAAATCAATATTTGTGTTGTATAACCCATCGAGTTGAATAGGTTATTCGTTTTAAGGGTGTAATGTTATGATGCAGTAAATTTTATTCAGCGGGTTATTCACGCGTTGAAAATGGAACGTTCAATTTAGAATCTCGCTAGTTGGGTTACTTGTAAAATGATCTCTAAATCATGACAATTAGAATGTTATTTAGTATGTACGCTTCGACGCTACGTGCACGCACGCACTAAACTGACTGGGTGTAATGTCAAGTCACAATTTGAAAGCAACTTAAGTGTTTCCTGTGTAAATTAAATAATCAGTATTGAATTCTGAATGTCCATGTTAATTGTAGCTGGCCTACTCTTCAATTATCTTTAGAGGTAACTCCGGAATACCGCAAGTTGTGACTGTGGTCTGTTCGAATTGTATTTTCGTATAAAGCTTAGTATACATTGGACTATGTCGATGTAAAGTGTGCCGTCGTGTTATGAAACGATAGACTGTTTACTATAGTGTGTTCCAAGCACAAAGTCCCGTCTTTTTACATCTAGTGGGCGGATACGTGATGTAGGTACGTACTAATTGTTGCCCGTTATTTTTGAAACGTATAAACCCGTTCTATTACAGTGATTTGTGAAATTCATTTAATTTCATGACATGGGTGAGATATACAGTTTGTCTCGTCTATTTCAGCCGCCAAGCCGCTTGGTTAAAGGTTAATAAGGCAATAAAATTACAGAGTATAGAGACAGTATATATCAGATCACGTGATGTCTCTCACCATTGACATCACGTGATCTGATATATACTGTCTGCCTTTCACAGAAAAATAGACTCTAAAGAAAAGGACTGAACAGTTGAATTGCTGAAATAATTTTTATTAGATGTTTAGTGTTTATTTCGCTTTTTCAGAAAACGTCGACTGTTAGACTGTGTTGCAAACGTTGAACTCTATTGTCCTGTTCTTTTGGTCTATTTTCCTAAATTCATGGAAGTGATTAATTATTTAGTTTAGGTTTGTGGGTTTTTGTTTCAGTGATAAATGGGGATAATTGTTGATATAAATAGTACGTGCCTACATTGTTTCGTGTAAATTGTAGAAACGCAGCGAGGTGCGTGTGTATTTTAATTTATATAGTTTTTCCTTTGTCATTAACATTGTGTAACTACTTCTCGGTGCATTTAACGTTTGCTGAGGGCCTACTTATGTATTGTAGATATTTTGTATTGAACGGGAGATTTGTAAGTACAAACTGATGGTGACCTCGTTCCCAGTGATGATACGATGATGAACAGTGATCGGAGTGGGTAGAGCTATTTGTGATAGAGTATATTGATATTCCTCGAATCCTAGGATTTGTTTTTTAAGTAGAAAAATAATAAAAAGGAAGTTTACTCCCTAAAGCGTAAATAGTTTGTAAATGTAATGTGGACTCCATTTCCGCAATTAGCCTCACATTTGGGCCGTTGTGAGTGTAGAGCAGAGGGCGTAAATAGCTTTTTATTATTTTTACAAAAGAGAAAATACATACTTCCTATAAGTATAAGGACTGTTTAAGATATGGTAGATACAATAAATAGATAGAAACTTGATTCATTAAAGCACATATATTTTTACGTAACAATTTCTTATATTTTTCCAAGAATCAACAAACATTTAACATTTTCATTCTGAAGTTGTAGAAGAACTATTTGTATTTAACTAAAATAAAATTTTGATTAAAACTACCAACACGTTTAAACAATAATTTACTTATTGAAACAAAAATTCAGTGGTCTATTAATGGTTATCTGTATTATATCCTATATCAATGTTTGAAGTCAATGATCCTAAATAGATCTACTTACTCCGATCAGTGATGATGACGCTATACGGTAATGTTCATACGTCACTGTTTAGCGTACGTGAATGAGAAATACTCATAAATATTGTTTGCGGTTGCATATTCGGTAAATAATGTTCGCTTTTTTATCCATTGACGTACGGCGTTGCTTCTGAAGCGGCTCGTAATTCGCATGTAACAATCTGAGAGTTAGATTTTAGCATTTGTTGTATTAATATAACATATCGTTTGCCTTATAAATCGCTTGTTATTACTGTTATTAAACGTTGCTTACATATTACCATAGTGCCGGTAGAATACCAAAACCATCGACTGATCTATGGTTTGGTGGGAAAAATTGTCTATGGTTCCTGATATTTTACAAAAGGCAACTTTTTAAGGCACATAAGTGAAGGACTGCTATCTTATAATTATGAGTTAGAATTTGGTGTTAAATAAACGCGAAAAAAAGACAGCTGGACTAGCTGTCCTTTTTACACCTTTACGATCAGACAAGGATGGTTGAAGTTCAGTTTAGTAATATTCAATGACAGTTCTGTATTTATTGCGGATGAGCAACTAATGAGAGATTAAATTCATTCCATGTTTGAGATTAGCAATGTAACGGCTTGTATGCCAATAGTCCAGTGTCCAGAATTAGTATTCAGATAGTTAATCGATGGATTGATCCATTTAAGATTGGAGCTTCATTACTTAACGATATTATTAATAATTTGCATCTGATTAAAAAAAATCTATGCAATTGTCTATGGACTATTCTTTTTTATAAAGCAACTTTGAAGTCTCGACTGGTTCATACAAAATCGTAAATTGATCGATCAAACCATCAACCGGTTTCGTAAAACTATTCGTTGCTGATTCTACTTTGTTATAGTTTATTCATTGTTCCAATCATTGGCATCTACAATTATAATTGTTCTTAATAAAGCGTACAAGTTAATATTGTGGATAACATTGCCGTGGTTTAACTAATATACATGTAAAATTAAATTGATTTAAAGCACGATTGTATGACATCTAAGATCAAGATATAACAAAGTCGTTGTCAATAAATCTGATATCGAAAACGTCACAGCTCGCTGTTGTTTGGCATCTCTTTCTAATAAATATTCTTGGATACTTCAAATGAGGTGTAAGCGAGATGGAAGACTCGTAAAGTTAGCTCGAGTTTATTGCTAATGCAAGTATTCAAAGTGCGATTTCGTCACCGCACTATATAAAACATGTATGTGAGTATATGTTTAAGTTATACATACAGAAACATCTTTCAGTTCGCTTCTAATCGATCCCCATTCCATTCAAACCGGGATCGAAATTACGACGGCCTGAGCCGAGGTTCGAACTCCTAGTCACCACTAGGGGTTCGAACTAAAGTCGTATCCGTCAGGCGGGAGATGGCCGTCAGCCGCTCCATAAGTACTTCCGCGGGTTTGGAGTGCCATCTGCACTCGCGCCCTATCGTCCGGTATGCTGTAAAGGCCAACTGCCAACAGCATTAGAATAGCCCGACAAAAAATGAAATTAATAATCAAAGTACAATGTTTGCTTAGTTATATAATTATGATTATTATTTTTATGACCATAAAGATGCTTTTTCTATGAGATATTGTGTGGTGACGGAGGTTCTGAGTGCAGTCATGGTCAAGACGTTGCGTGTCAGTTTACGCTCTCATTTTATGTTTTGCGACTCAGGTGTCGTATGGATATGACGGTATAAGTTTTACAATGGCTGTGTCACATCAACTGTCTACAGAGAAACAACATGGATGCTAGCTCATATCTCTCATGAGCCGGTGAGATAGATTTCTATACGCAGATTTATCTCGTAAATAGTAATAGATAATTTATTTTTACTCTTGTATCATGTCATAAAAATTTTTCATTTCATAAAAATCGTAAAACATACCATTTTATTGTTATTATTATTAAAAAAAGTAAAACTACTTAAAAGACTTAAAGTTAGTGGCAGTACTGTCCAACTAATATGATTTTGTTTAGCGCGCTTTATATGTGTTGTGATAATGAAGGTGATTTAAAATGAGTTACGAATGTACAATGAGTTCTCTTAATGTAACAATAAATTTGTAATTAGATTTCCGGTGCTTTGTAGTTACTATTACGTTACAATAGCTCGCATGTAGGATTCATTTTAAATAATCTTCAAATCTGTAATGAAATGGCGCCTTTGTTGCTAGAAACCACGAGTTAATCGAAATTTTTGTACGCAACCTAATGAGATTTTACAATTTGTACAATGTAATAAAGTTTATTAAATACACCCAGCAGGTTTTTGTTCTTGGGTGGTGCTATAACAAATAACCTCGCCTATTTTATGACCTATCCCATGTTATAATGAAACCTAACTTCAATCGAATAGCTTTGATAAAGTTATACGTATCAGCAAAACTAATTCATTTAATTCTGGTGACCTTTAATAAAAAGATGTTATACCGTAGTATCATGGAGGTTTTTGCATAATACTCTGGTTTCTATAGGTCATATCGCCTGTTCAGATCCCGAGCCTTTCGCTGTATTTAGAATTATTTTATGGTAACTATGTATACTATAGCTTATGAAGATATTAGATAGTGCTTACTAATAAATAACTGAATCGGTACTCTGCATCAGAGTCACTGTCTGCACCGATATTTTGATTGTACTGAAACATATTTATACGTTAACTCATTTAGGCGTTTGTTGTTGCCTCCCTTGTGCCGCCGAATTTGACGTTTAAACAACATTTTAGCATTTTATTTTTGTGTTTAACCGTTGTGGCTGAGGGTGGCAGGTCCTGATGATAAAGTACATTTCTATTACAGTAGAGTCCAAATTGTGTTAATGTAACTTCGGTAGCTTCCCAGTAATGCCCAAGTTAAGTAACTTAGTCATTCGGACCAATTCTCATAAGTTACTTCTATATATTGGTAATTGGTTTTATTAAAATCAAATTATCTTTATTCATGTAGATTACGAACTTTTATGTTATATCAAATTACCGTCAGTTCGGAGTGCTATCAAACTAAGAAGAAGTGACAAGAAACTCAGCTCTTATTCTTTTCAAATACATGATTATAGAAATATAGATTCATTTATAAATTCAATTCAGTGAGAATACAGTAGCCACCAGCATATACCATTGCAATTCTGTCAAAAGAAAATAATTCAATCAGTGGTTGTAACCAGAACAGTCCAGTTCCCAGTATTGTGGCAATTATTCAAATTCAATGAATAGATAGAAATAATACGATTTCTTCTATATTTATTCTAAATCTTTATACAATATGACCAAATTCAATCTTTTATACATTTATTTTTTATTGCATTGACTTACGCAATTACATACCCAATTTTACAGTTAGGTATGCATAAAATATGTTGATACGGTAATTGTCAGTTTTCATAATAGTCCGAGAATTGAGTAACGAAAGGCTTTGTTGTAATATTAAAATCTTCGAATCAAATTCGACTTTATCCACCTTATAATATGTAGGATATATGATATATGGACTTACTACGGCTAATATGAATGTATTTTGTTTACGGGACGTATTACAGTTTAAAAGTAAACGATTTTAAGATGATGGAGATTGTAATATTGTTTTGCCTTAATGAATTTGGCCCTGTATGAGGTGAGGTTTTGCGTTAATTGACAAGTGTCGGAGGCGAGGTGCTGTGGGCGCAGTCGCCTAGTTGTCTAGTTGAAATGCTTTATTATAATAAACATATTTTAACATCGCACATAATAAATTAATCAAAATTGTTTCGTTGTTTCATTTTAAAATCCAATTCAATTTAACCTAGACAGACAAACTAAAGTTTTAAATAAATATATACTATATATACATTTACCATAGACTATATTTTTATTTTAATTAGGTAGTTACCTAATTAAATAAAATATATAGTCCGTGCATCTATTGAGAAGTCCCATTTTAATTTGCATTTTGTTAATGTTATTCCAATATAACATAACGAGTTAAAAGTGGAACTATTAAAGATAATATTCAAGTGCTGATATGACGTAGCAACCACACATATATAATTAAAAAAAAATAGGTCATGAAATTTCACACGCCGCCTTGTAATCCCAAGCTAATCTTGTGTTATGGGTACTAGACAACAGTTAGAAATATTTATTTTTTAATAAATATTGCATAGAAAATACCTAGACCAATACAAACATTCATACTCATGAATACAATTTTTGTACCATGCGAGGAAACGAACCCGCGACCATTGGAGGTAAAGTGGTGTGCTACAACAAACGCCTCATATATATGTGGTTGCCACATTTGTATGGTATCAAAAAGAAACTAATTAAGTTGAGAAATACACTTTATTTTGTACTAATAACACCATTGGAGCATCATCGTAACGCTTATAAATTAAGATGAATAATGTAAAGGAAGACAAAATATATCTAACAAGTATACATGAGGCAATAAAAAAATTGTATAGACCAGCTATAGTGAAAATAAATTTCCTACATGAAATTAATACAGTAAAATTTCATTCCGAGCAAATACCACAAACTTGTGATTTCACTGAAATAGCTAATTGACGTGTAAAAATCGTTATTTACTTATAAATTCTAATTAAGTAGTCGCTGCATTAACAAGTACATGAATATTGCATAATTCTATAAAATATCTTCACTACTACAGCAGAATTGTAAACCAAGATTTACAACTGACTGGCATTAGAATTAACAATTTTATGTGTAGGGAAGCTATGAATTTAATGTCACAAATTTCATGAAATGTTCCCCCAATGTGACAATGACCAATGCATTGTCACTATTGGTCACATTTGTGAGATACCACCTCTCTACTGTGACGTCACATTTTAGAATTTTAAATTTAATAAACTGCAGTTGAGAAATCCCCATTTTTTTAAATGTATCAAAAAATGTAGACTAAAATGTTTCGTCACGAAATGTATGACTCATCCCACTCCTTGTCACATAATGTCAAACTTCGTCAATCCACGAGAGTCCAATGCAGCTTGTTTCCATGATCATAAAGACCTAGAAATTTCTAGGTTCACTCAGGAGACATTTATATAGTAAGGTGCCGGACAGATACATAACATATTAATCTGCAGACGATAATAAAATACTAATAAAATAATTCAATACGTATTTACACAATTACATAAGAATAATAAATAACTCCATAACATTATCACAGCATTTCTAATGATTCCTCAACATAAAAAGGCACAATATAATTTTCTTTGGTAAGTTGTAAATTAATTTTTTTAATTCATATTAGAGAAAAGTCACATTGTTTACAAGTCAGGGCGACGATACATTGAATATTAAATCAGGTACATATTTACTTGAAATTATAGCATGTAATTTAGCTTGAAATAATAAAAAAAATATATCAATACAAATTGTGAGTTAGTTATCTAGATTTTATTATATAGTATACCTACTTAGTATGTTTATTCATTACAGTCATGTAGTCATATGTATATGTTTAAAAACACTTACACCACCAAAATGTCTTATAAATCTGTTTTAGTTTCGTCCTTTTCTTACAAGCTGTTTTCTTTATTTGAAAGAAAGGGACAAAATATTATAACAGTTAAAATGAGGTTATTTAGGTTTAGTTAATATTAAGAATTTATACTTGAATATGTGATGTGTGTTTCTTTGACAAATTAATTTATATATATAATTAAGTCATACACGTTGTGTGGCAAAAATGATAGGTACTTAACTAACAAAAACATCAGGACTTGCATTTCCAGGAAGCACTAGCCCTATTTGTAATTAAAGATAATTATTAAAGCAATTTTATACTTAGAGGCCATATATGAATTACATCACACAATTTGTCATATTTCTTGACTCCTCCCCCGTTTTGTCATAGTTAGTCACATTTGTGAAACTTCCCCTACCTAGAATCCTCACATACTATAAATGTTTACATCTGGTAATTATTAAAGCAATTTTATACTTAGAGGGCATATATAAATTACGTCACACAATTGTCATAGTTCTTGACTCCTCCTCCGTCATTGTCACAGTTAGTCACATGTGAGACTCCCCTCCCTAGTCTCGACACATACTATAAATGCTTACGTAATTAATTGCTTTACAAATTAGTCGAAATTAGTTTAAATTCCATTTAAAACAAAACCAATTGCCACCTTTCGTCACACTCTCCCTTAACATGTGACATAACTTATGTAGCCCCTTGCAATATAATCTAAAATTAACAAAAAGTTTGTTAAATACACAAATGAATGCCTGCCTGCAGGCAATTGAAAAATACAATGGAAGTATTTGGTTGGGTCGATTCACACTGAGATAGCTGGCTCAGGTCAGCAGTTCACGTCAAAAGTGCTGAGGTGCTGAGTTGTCGGCTACCTTTTGAGTATGAATTGACCCTTATCATAATTATTAAGATACTAATTATGTACATAAAATAAATAGGTATTATTTACAAAAAATACATATTTACAATTAAATCTAACTGAAGCAAGTGGAATACAAGTATGAGCTTCTTGCAAACAGATCATTGGAAAGTTTTAAATTCGTATTTTGTATTAATATTTATAATTATTATTAATATGATAATGCAATCTAATAAATACTTTATAATCATTTGTATGTAAGTACATTTTAGTTTGTGCTCATTTGATAGTAGGCATTTCATAAAGACTGTTTTAATATATTTATATATTATCTTATTATGTAGCAATGTTGCATCACTGCTGGGTAAATATCTTCCCAATTTCTTTCCTTTATTTACATATAGAATATATAGTATCTTGAATTTTAATGTTTAAATTGTGTAATTATATCTTTATATATTTACCTTACTATGTTGCAACACCGATTTGCATATAGTGTTGTAATATTAAAATATATATATAAATAAATATCACATAGACAAGAGAGATCTATATATATTGTGATATAGTTTATGCTTTAAAATTTGAGCACCTCATATATAATAACCGTCGACAATTCAAACAGCGCCAACATCTTCCAAATTAAGCAGAGCTTCTATTATGTGTGCTAAACAACTAAAGGTAATACTTAAAACCTTTTTAGTAAACTCCCATAATATACATTACTATTCAGAATCACACTCAGAACGATACAAACAATCATACTTATTAATACTAATGTTTGTATTGTGCTAGAATCAAACTTGCGACCAACAAAGCTGACTTTACCACAAATTTATTTAATGGTATGCTAAACTGCTAGACCAATGGACAGTAAGCAATGTCTACTAATCTTCTACACTTGTTTGTATTATTTATGATGCAGCCATGTGGTTTTACACACATGTTAGGCATGTATGGGGTTTCGTATGAAAGCAACTTTAAATTGGAAACAATTTTTAAGGTCATAGTAGGTCATCTTCGAATTCTCCACCTGTGAGTATATGGGGCTCCCCGATCGCAGGCACCATGTGTGAATACTCGCTAGTTGCCCATAGATACAGGTTCAGTGTGCGCTCAGTGCATTGTGCTATAAACCTGCAAATAGAGATACTTTTAAAAAATGTATAGGCAGAGATGATCATGAGTTAGAAATATATAGACTGAGAAGCAAGCAGCACTAATTCTATTCTATTCTAATCTTTACTAAAATAAATTTAACATAAGCACTTAAAATAAGGAAAATATATAATTTGACTATTCAATCTTTATATATAAAAATACGTGTCACGTTGTTAGTCCGCGATGGACTCCTAAACTACTGATCCGATTGCAAATTCGATTAGCACATTGTGTGCAATTTGATCCAACTTGAAAGATAGGATAGCTTACATCTCAAATAGTCGCAATATTATTTTATTCAAGAACCTTAGCCACAATAACGCGTGGCCGGTTCTGCTATCATATTATATTTTTATTTTACCCCTGATTCAGAAAACATAAGGAGCAAAGCTGCGAATTGCTCTTTTAGATAAATGTCCTTCAGGATTAAATTTCATAAAGCATGTAGATTTAAATGTAGAAAAGTAACTTTTGATATAAAATTTATGTAAATTTTTACCTACCTAAAAAAATTACGTAATATGGAATATAACTACCTACTAACTGTTATAATTCAAAAGAAATCATTTATATACAGAATACAGTGGTTATAGGTTTTAATAATATGAAATAAAGGTTGACTGGAAGTAATCCCTCTTTTGGGATAAGTAGGCCTTTGTACGCATTTTTTTTTACAGAAAAAAAAAATTTTGCTTGTGGCTTCACCTGTTTCATATTTTTAGCCTATGTGTTATTCTGGTGTATAAGCTATATATATTACTAAGCTATATGTACTACGATACTGTAAAGTTTCATCAGAATCCATTCAGTACTTTTTGCGGGAAAGAGTAACAAAAATCCATCCATATTAACAAAGTTTCACATTTATAATATTAATAAGAATATGTCCAGTGTGTTCAGCCTGCATACAGGCATGCAAATGTTTATACACTATTATGTTAATGTCCTTCTAATAAAATTTGACAAATTTCTAGAATAATATAGTTGACCAAACTCACCTGACAAAAGGTCGGACGTCACCCTCATTGGCTGTCTGCAAGTGCTGGTAGTACAGATGTCGATGCTGCTTTGCTATGATCACTGGAGGGTACCCCGCCTGCATCAGTAGCAGGTTCATGAGCAGCCTGGAGGTGCGCCCATTGCCATCTATGAACGGATGTATGTGGACCAATTTGTAGTGAGCTAAGGCTGCGTATCTGAAATATGTTTATTTATTTTTTTATATATTTTTAAATAAAGGGCAAGGAAAGATATATGTTTAGTTCCGTTGTATACATTGCAGGCCTAAAGTAAAAGTCATTGCCTAAAAATATATTTAGGAATTTAATCAAATCCAATTTTTATTTCAAATATTGCAGAATATTATTATGCACATAGACAGACTTTATGCTTATTCGCCTCCAGAGAAAAGAAATTAAAATAGCAGATTATAATGCCTTTTTGCCTTGCCTAATTACTGCCTTTTTGTTGTATCATTAGTTATATAATATTCATCTAAATCAGCGTCTTCAACGTTTTACAAATCGAGAGCCAAAAAATTTTTTCTGTACAGTTTTTGTAAAAAAACCTATGGTACGTGCTATAGGTTGTTTTAAAAGGATTTTTTTTATTTTATATTAAAGATACTCTTCATTACTTTATTGTTGTCGTTACTGAGAGTGGGCCTACGATGTTGGCGGGCCGCGAAGGGTTCGCCGATGAAGTAGGCTGCGGGTTGAAAACCCTTGATCTAAATGACTAGATGTAATAGGGATGATATGCTTGATATCTAAAACCCCAAAAACAATTCAGATAAAAAAATATAAATGACCAATACTAATTAGTATAAAAAAGTAGCCTATATTCTTAATGCCTACAAGCAGTTAAGGCATAAAATTGTATCAAAACAAAAACATTTTTTTACAAATTTTAGAAATTTATATAAGAATAGAAAATCCTTTATTCAAATAACCTTAATTTCAGCACCTTTGAATAGTCATTATAAAAAAAAGATGGTATTTATATATTAGTATTTTATATTGAATAGTCATATTTGTTCTTCTTTAAATCTACCACTCATTCGGAAAATTGTCTCATCATATGTAGCGTTAATTATGTTTTGCAATTTACGGCATTATGTATCGAAATAAATATTTCTAATTTTTTTTTTTTTTTTTTCTTCTTTATGGCTAAGAAGAATGAGCACAAAACTTGCATGTTGCTCTTTTAAATAATTATTGTAACTTTACATTTTAACTTGAAATATGTGAATACAAACTTTTTTACAAAATTAAAATTAGTACATTTCATGAAAGAGATTACTACCTTACTGGATGAAGATCTATAGCATCTTCGGAATTCAGCCATTCCAAAAACTGAGCCATCAACTTTTGTATTTCTGTTGGACCAGGTGGTATGTGACCGCCAACATACACCTGCGTCCTCCTGAACTGTCCACCCTCCACAGGATCTACATGACCCAGCACCCGTTTGTGAATCTCCAATATATCCCCCATAGTGATATCTCGTAATCTATACAGTAACGTCGAATTTATATACTTCATGGCTGCATCTAAGCCAAGAATTTCATTATGTTCATCAATACTCTTTCCGGAAACTGCTATCCGAGTCTCTAAAATACTTCTCGTTTGCTGCAATGTCATTGTATTACCTTCTATACCCACGGTATGGTAAATATGCTGGAAGTATGCCTCTTTCTTTGCCCTACGTAACGCCGAATTATTTTCCGGTATAGAGAGTAAAGCGTCTCGTTTATCATCAATCTTCCTCAACATCTCCCTGTCTAAATTCTCAACAATACTTGCCGTTCGCTGCCTGTTCATTAACGCTCCGGTGTGGTCTGGAAAATTTGTTAATGCTAATGTGTAGAGTTGGTCTGCCTTAACAACATCCTTTTTTGTTTCTTCTAGAAACTCCCCGTAGTGGTTCAATATGTCAGCATGTTTTGGGGACAGTGCAAAAGCATGTTGGAAGAGTTTCATTGCCTTATCTGCCTTACCATTCCTTTTCATTTCTAACGCGGCGCTGAGAGAGGCAACAGCTTCAGAATCTCGGGCTTCATCCTGCTTCTTTGGTGCATGTATCGGCACACTTTCAAATGTTTCTAAATGGTTCCCATGTAACCCCATTGGTATGGGAGAGAATGGTCTAATATATTTACCTTCATAATATAATAATTTATGGAAAGATATAACTACAGCTAATGTACACACGACACTAGACATTATTAAAACTGTTTTACACTTGTCTAAAATCATTTTTGGTTGGAGATGGTTCTGGTTACAACACTTCATCGTTTCTACGTCAGTGGGACTACCTAGTAACAACATGATTGCTCTCGTATACAAATATTTTCAATGATAAATATGTAGCGTTAATTATGTTTTGCAATTTACAATGCATTATGTATCGAAATAAATATTTCTAATTCTAAAATTTCTAAATACAAATAATATGAAACCACGTAAGGACATTGCGCCGATGACATTGACAGTTTACCTTATATATGTCAATGTCAATGACATAATATGTCATGCGTACAATATGTCAGTTTGACCATTGATAACGGCTCTTCCACAGAATATATAATAGTACCATAATTACTACCCTCAAGTACAAATACTATAAAAAAACATTGCGTTTTACTGATTTCGATATTTTAATGAGCTGCTATAAAACAAGATGCTAGGCTATGCCATGTAGTAGAGATTAGAAAAAATCCTGTAATTTTATCGTACAAAAATATGGGTATTTACCTATATATAAATGGCAAACGAGTAGACAGCCAACCTAATGCTAATATAAGTAGTAACCGTCGTCTAAATCGTCAATGTATATGAACAGAACAAACATTATTATCTCTTATGATACATTTTGAAATACTAAGATGTTATGCCTTCGTATCCTATAATTATCCTTCAACCGAAACAGCTTACAAAGCAAGTTGTTTGGCAGCTGAAAGAGGTGAGACTAAAGTATCCGTGAGCATATTCTTTATATGAGGTCATAAGTGTCATAAGTGTGTTAGCTTTATATAGCTATCACCAGGATGTAACAAGGGGTAATCAATCTTACTTACTCTTACTCTTATTAATCGACAGTGGTGGGCGCACAATTCCAATAATCCATAAAAAAAACCATATCAATAATAATGCCTTAATATGCACTAGCTATGACTTGAAAATTTATATTTATGGGCGCCAGATAAGGCCCTCTTATGGAAAACTGTTTTATTTAGTAAGCTATACAAAACTTTATGCCGATCAAATTGCGTGTGTCTTAACTAACTGCAAGGAATATAGTATTTATCCTATTGGTACAGTTAACATATTTATAAAGTAGCGAGCGGACGGGCGGCCGCGAGTGCCCCGGATTGGTCGGCCTGTACCTACAGTGGTGGCATTGTTTGTAGTGATGGCCACATATTATTTTTAGGCAGACATACATACTGAAAATATATAACACAGTAAAATCCCAATTATCCGGATCAAGTAAAACCAGGGGTATTTTGTATAATCGAAAATCCAGATAACAGATATCAAAGCACATCAAGCAATGAGCTATAACGATAGATAATTATTTACATAATACCTATGTAATTAAAAATTTTGGAAGTAACTTGTTATTAATCTTTGACGTAATGAATCACATCTTAACATTGCGTCCAAGTCGCTGATGCGCTTCACTTGTAACTACTGTATGGGATCTGATTCGTCCTGTCTTTCAAACGACTTAAAAGCAACAACTAGAGCTGTAAAAGCTTCTACGTGAGATGGTACTTCACATACAACCCCAGTTTCAGTCTTTTTTGCATCTTCTCTCTCGTTATATACTGTACAAATGCTCAATAATCTAAATTGATAATTTGAGAGAATGAGTCCGGATAATCGGATGTTCGGATAACTGGGATTCTACTGTACTTAAAATATGTTAGGGCTTGTGAAATAAATGACGCGGCTGATAATTAATTTATATATATTTTCTATAATTTCACTTCTCAGCAACAATCACTCAAATAAATATTGAAATATCTCTATGATATCATTCAGATCATTTCCTGATAATGTAAAAATAAACATTAATTACAACTAATTTATTAATCACATAAATATAGTAGCTAACTAAAGTTATATGTATGAATTTCACTATAATTTCATTTGTTAACGGCGTTCACAAATATATTCCACTTTTAGTTTCAATTTTGAATCAAATAAGACAATCGATTGTCGAATTTTTAAATCGACTATATTTGTGGACATCATTACTTAACTTTTAACGCTTCACCTCATAATAAATAAACTGCTTGACTGTATGGTTTAGGCACATCACTAATTTTTATTATAAATTCTAAATACAATTCATTCATAACTTCCATGAAACCAATACAAAGCAAAATCTACAACGTCATCGTTGACTAGATTAGCCGTGGCAACACGAAAACAATCTGCCACCAACTCGCAATTCGATACTGGCTGTTTTCATTTTATTTTTTTTCAGATTCGAGAGAAAATCAGCCAGTATATGATATCGCGATTTCTACGAATGTAACACCGGGTTACAATCGAGAAATACGTTGTGGCAGACAGTTTAATTCCATAAAGTTTGTAGTCTCACGTAACCTCCTGCATTTATAAGCCTTATCAATTTCACCCAATATTGGGCAAGAGTCTATTTCTATTACTAATTATCACTACACTTATCACTATTTTATGGCAGTATTGCAGGAAATTAGCGCGTAGACAACATGAGTTTCTTATAATCAAGCAGCTTATAGATGAGCTGGCTGCTAAGGCCGCAGTATTTTTTTTTTTTAAATATTCTCGAGCGGTTTATCGTAGCCTCTTAACGCCTGCGATGCGGTGCGTTGGGACTTACTACTATATCGTAAGCAACTTAAGGTGACATTTAAAGAAATGCAGTATCCCATCGCCCCGCACCGCAACCATCGAGCTACTTTTACATGTAAAAAATATGTTTAAATTCTTGTAATATTTTCTTACATACTTATTTTATTAATCTCAATGTGCTGTTACATATTGTATACGTAAATATCCGTTTAGAAACATTTAGTTCCATGTCTATAAATAATAATTAATGAAATTGCATAATTATAAAGTGGGCAAGTATAATAAATGCCACAATATTTTTACTTACAGCTAAAATAAAAACGTTTATTAAACGCAACTACAATTCCGTTACACGAATTTAGTATATAATAAATCTTAGGCTATGTAACAAAAAAGAATACAGCTATTTGAAATCCTGAGATATCAAAGTTTCTATGGAACACAATTATTTTTCCCGTTCTTTTCTATACTCAAGTAGGGACATAGAGACGACACGTTTTAGAAATTTCTATATTTGAATTTCGAACGACACCAATAAGGTGAAGTGAATTTCATGAATATATCCCATACTTCTAAATTTGTATTTGATTTCAAACAGCTATATCCTCTAACTTACATAGATTATAATTACACTTAATGTGTATACTCTTTAGGTATAATAATAATATTATAATTTGGAATTTGTTTAGTTAATTAATCGTCTGCAACCAGCGCAGAATTTTACTAATTAAAATAGTAGATATCTCTTAATACGAACAATACAAAATTTATCACTCGAAACTAAAATACAAATACAATAAAACTACCAGACTTCACAGCCTGAAAATGAAAAATGTAATAATAAATAAATATATTAAGTCTATTTGATTGACGATGATTTACGCGCGCAACTCTTTATTTTTCTCATAAATGCTTTTGGCGGTAAAATAAAGTTCTAAATTTAAAATGGCGTCGAAAAAAGTAATGCTCATGTTTCATACTAAAGCATAGTAAGAACTGTGTCTGTAATTTACTCAAAAGCCGAGTAGTTTAGTAAATAAATTTCTGTACTCGAATAAAAGTGACTATAATTTTATCGAACTCTATTAATTATTTTAATTTGTTATGTCATAGACAAAAAAGAGTTTATTTCATGTGGTTAATATATCACTTTGCAGTCATATATCAATAATTTGACTATCTATAAACAATTATTTAATTGGGTGGCTTTTATACATATCGCAATTATGTTATATAATCGTAATAATATAACATATTCGAGTACATAATAATTATTTAACATTGAACTATAATATGTATAAAAGTGTATCAAGTTTTGTGACGGAATAATCATGATTGTATGAAGTTTACTAGTAAATAATTATAAATATAAAAAATATCTTAAAATATTTTAAATAATTAAAACCCAATAATAATTTGTTTAATTCCCTATATGACACCAAGAAATTCAAACCGAAATTAGAAATTCAATTCTTAGGGCACAATCTGCATTGAACAAATAAAGAGACTGTGCTTTTGATAGTGCTTTTTTATGAACAAATAAAAACGTATATGTATATAGAATCTTATTTAAACAAAATAATGTCAAATTGGAGTTTTTACTTATATCACATCTGTCTACAATATATACTATAAATAGAGTTCCATGTATCTCTCCAAGAGAATATAAGTTTTGTCTATTTTGCGAGCTATTTTAGAGTGTGAAATTGAATTATAATAAGCACAATTAATACTATGTCTAACATAGTATACAGATTGAAGTCCTTGGTTCAAAAAATACAAAAAAAGAAAACAATATTTTTTTCTAATAAATTCATAAATGGAACTTCACTAAATCGAATTCTCGACTAAAAATCCCACTCGTTAAAATCATCCACTCGTTTCAAGTAGCATTAAACATCAAGACAAATGTATTCATATCTCAGTAGATGTATCTTTAAACTTCTATATATAGACCGTACAAAGTTTAAAATGAACTTGGTAATAGACAATTAGGTCGTAACATTGGTCTATTAGGTACATATAGAATCGACGAGGATCATGGTTGAATATAATGAGCAACCAAGGGTAATCATGGTACCCATAGCGATGCTGGAGTGGTACATTCGGAACACTCTCAAAATACGCATGTAGCGTGGACAGTGCGCCAATTCACCAAGAATCAGTTGACCAATCTGTAACAATAAAATACAAATATTAAAAAATATACTAAAAAATCTATGATTAAAATATTTGTCTATGCTCTAAAATTAAAAATACGAATATATGCTTTATTATTAAGTTTTAGTAGTGATTATTTGCTTAACAATACCTACAACGCGCGATGTACTGGTATTAATTTGAATTAGGAATGTGCTAGTTTCTGATTCCACAAATTATTAAAAAGTAATCACTTGATTACTTTTTAATAATTATATAATAAACAGTAAATAATATACTTATATTATTTACTGTTTTCGCGGCAATTTTATAAAAAAATATTACCCATTGAAATGGAAATGTGTAATATGAAAAGGCCTAAGTCTAAGTTGCAAGTATTACGCGATTAGTCAGTAATGCTTATTTTGATTTTATAAATGCATTAAGTATTGATTAACTTTATTTCCTTACTTCCTACAGATAACAATAATGGGCTTCCAATACACACAAATGTTAATTAATCAATCATTTCTTTATTTATAACAATTTATCTTGTAATTTTGTTTAATCATTAGTCTACATTATTTTTAACAATGATTTTAGTTGCGTTTATAATAAAAAGATTTAGTCATAGGGATAATAATTTCCGTAGAAAATATATCAACGAATTTCGTATTGACATCATTCGAGTGGTAATATTTCGTGGTAAATCTATTCATAATCTAGATTGAATTGAACTTCTCGATCAGTAATGAAGGCCAAGAACTTTAAAACGATTGTAATCCATTGATTTGTAACATTTTACTTTCAACTGCATAATGGAATGCCATTATGCAGTTGAAAGTAAAACGTTACAAAATTGTATTAAAATATCGTTATTTACGTAGACCTATTACAAACTGTTATGCAAAGTTAATTCTATCGACAGTTATCGTATAGTTTGAGCCTAGAAGAACTAGAATAAAATATGAGTATTCAAAAGTGCTTATATTAAAGATTATTTCTATTTCTATTCTTATTGTAAATTATCAAGAAATAAATATTTATTATATTTACGTTATTGTATACGATGTCAATAAGTCTCGAAACAAAAATTATTTAATCAAATTGGTATTTGCCACTAAATAGTCATATCGACAAATGATATTATTTAAATATTTATAACAGCTACATGATTGATTGGGTAATTAATAAGGTTTTTGGGGGGAACAAGGGTTTTTTTATGGATGATAATGGAATGGCGCACTCGCTTGCACTAACGGTTTACGCTGGCGGGGCACCAGTGGAGGATGAGAATGAGGCCAGGTCAGTTAGCCCATCGTGACAAATTCACCAATAATTTATCACGATGGTTTCCAGGGAGAAACGCGTGGAGGTCAACCTGACATGGTACATTGCTAGCAATAAGATCATCAGTCCACATTACTAACAATCCCCTTTTCCCCCTGGAGGAACAGGGTTGTTAGTAATGTGGCTTATGTCCCATTGCTAACAATGTACTGGACACCATCGTGATAAATTTCTGGTGAATATGTCACGATGGACTAACTGACCTGACCTCATCTTATCATCCTCCACTGATGCCCCATCAGCGTAAACCGTTAGCGCAAGAAGGCGAACCATTCTATTATTATTATTAAAAAAAATACGTTTTTTTTATTTCTACGTAACATTGTAATTTTATATGATAAGAAAACTATATTATTATAATTAAGTTTTAATTAATGATTGCAATATTGTTGGTTCAAATAACCTCGTTACACTGATATATCCATATCAGTCACTTCAAATAACTAGGACACAAAGTCTACTCAGTGTCTAGAGCAATTCTAGACATTGTTATCTATAGCCTAGTTTATTGCATACGATCAAAAGTAATGTTGCCAAGCAACTTGCTTTGTAAGTTTTGTTCCGGTTTTATGTGTAAAGTTTATGCCCTTATGTATATCAATAAGCTGTATCTACTATTAGAACGTAATGTTTATTTATAACAAGCCACAAACTTAATGAACATAATACTGTGAGATATGAAATCTAAATTGAAACTACTGGTTGTGTTTAAATATATTAAATGAATATGCTAAAAAGTGCTAGCACAGCTCAAAACAAAAAATATATTATTCTATGTGACGTGAGCCTGATCTGTGCTCTGACTTACAGTGTCATATATAACAAAATATCTTGCAATATTTTTTTTAAGAAATTATTATTTGCAACTTTTGCAAGCTTTGTTTGATAATTTTAACCTATTGTATATGTAGGTGCTTGCTAACGAACTATATAGAGCTAAAGTTTTGTTAAAGTTTGGTTGAACTCTCATAAGGACGCTGTCAATTATTATAAAAAAGTAATGTAATTTGCTCTATGGTAAATCATAGAAACGTATAAGTGTACGGTATGTTGCACTTACTTCTTGTCCACCTCCGGCAGCTTCCTCCATCTGTGTTTTGATGTGTTTGGCGCGAATCATTGGCCTCACGAGGCGCAGTCGAATGAATGCTTCTATACTGAACATCGCTAGCAACAGTGCTACCTGTAATCAAATAAAAGGGGATACATTAAAACCATATTTACCGAGATAGGCTACTTACAAAGTACCATGAACTACCTGCCGAGGTTTTCTCGAGAAATTACAGCATGGGGTTTTTTAAGAAGAATAAAAGAAGAAAAGAAGAAGAAAGTTTCAGGCGTCTATAAGCTACGGTTTTACCATCAGATGGGCCGTATGCTTGCTTGCCACCTATGCCATATACCATGGGGTTTTTATGAGGAATTGAACCCGCGACCATCTAAAGTAAAGCGGTGTGCTAAACTGCTACATCACCGGGGCCATCTATTAATGAATGCTATGTGTCTAATCAAACACAAAATGTACTCATAATCTATTTAATTTTATCAATTGTGATATATATGTATATATCTATTTAATCCAGGTATTAATTTAAATGACGTTTGTTTTTTTATATATATAATACGATAGTGGTAAAAATAGTTATTTTTGTATAGGATATAACTTATAATCTTTATAGATAATAGAAAGCTACTGTATCCCTATGTATCATAGGCTAAATTTAAAACAGAATTTCCTACGGTATCGGAAAAATAGTACCTTGATGTTGAAACAGAAAGAACGTCTACAAATATAATGATACAAATGATATTTAGTTATCTAATTGTAGAGGTAAATAATTATTACACATCGTATACATATACATGTGTGTCTATGGACAGGAATGTCACTCAATTCCTTATTAAACATACGTACATATCCAATTGATCTCCCAATTCTAGCCAATCATCATAACGAGATAAATGCATTATGCATGCACTATATATTTTACTAAGGGGATATTACGCAATCAGTCATCTCAATTCACTGTATGACTCAACTAAACATTCGACCTACATAGCTGTAATGTAATTAAGAAATAACAAAGAAAGTTATTATGTTATCTATGGTATTTACTGGATAAATTATCTCGTATGACGATAATAAATATATGAACAAATATTTCCCAAATTGTATATATTGGCAAATTCACAAAGTGCCAAGCCATAAAAAAATAACGTTTCCATAAACATTCCCGCCTAAAAATGATTCGCCATCTTAATAATATTCAACGAAAGCAAAGTTTTATTTATCTGTATGTTGAGATTAAAGGATATATTCGAGGACCTGCCTTGAAATGAGAAAGTAATATTTAATCTACATTATATTTATACCTATGTAATACAATCAAAAGTCAACTAAGGACGTATAAGTTTTGTGTTTACACAGCTGCAGTACAGCTAGTACTATATCTATAGTACTTTTGAGAAATGGATATTAATTATTATCTTTGATATATTAACAAAGTAATTGTTACTTTGTTAATATATGTACATATATTTACGTATGCTCAATAACATGTAATTGAAAATTGTGATACGTGTACTTAATTTCTCATTAATATGTCAACTGAAGTTTGGGCAAGCGTCCACCTTCATTAGTTTTTAGGTTGGTTAGATAGACATAGAATAAAAAGTTAAAACAATTCAATATTAAATATTTCTATAGAATTTAACCAAAATCTTATTTATTAAATAATTATATAACAATAGGTTGTATATATTTAATATAACATGTATATTGATATTTGTAGGTATTCAAAATAACTTTCAGAGTAAATTATAATAAAGGGGAAGATACAAATTGAATTAAATAAAATTGAAATGAATAAAATTGAATTGAATTAAATAAAATAGAATTGAAATGACAAGAAACAATTTATTTATATTTACATAGATTAATATCGAATATTTAGAAAAAACATTAAGCGTTTTACTAGTCTATGGTAGTTGATTAAAGTTTGACAAAAAAGAACTGCTTTTTGTGCATCTAAATGGTATTGGATGCAATTTGCACGCATTACCGGAACGATATTATTGCTTAACCGTAAATCGAGTGGCGAATCGATTAGACAGTCGATTTTCCCGTACTATTTCTGGAAACAGGAGACTGTTATAGGTTTAAAGTAACCTTCTAAATTAAACCCAAATTACTTTTTAAATATGGAAAAATTATATTTTATATTTGGAATTAAATACATTTTTGTTTAATTGTCAGAGTGATCGATTAAGGCCAATGACACCGAGTTAAATGTCATATTATTATAATTGCTGCAATGCACTGGCGCCAAGTGCCCATGTGAAGGTAGGTATGTAATTTGAACTGTAGTCGTATTTTGGTGTAACATGATATTTTTGTACCTAGAGGTACTTCTATATGACTGCTTTATACTTTTTAAAAACCACAGAGTATGTGTATTGTATGTATATTTTATGTAGAAGGCAATACTTTCAATTCGAAATTTGAAAGTTTTTTGACTATCCAGTTACATAAAAAATGTTGAGGAAAAACAAGCCACATAATGAAGTGTATGAAAGTAAGAAGTACTGTGTATACTGACCTGTACCCAGCTGATGTGTTCAAAATTAGACAAGTACTGCGTCCTGGTGTATGCGAACAATCCTATTAGGCTCATCGCGGCATTGAACGCGTAGTACAGAGGGAACAGCACAGTCTGCACACGTCCGAAGTCATGCCGTGGGAGAGTGAAGTACAGCACGATTCCTGTGAAAAGAAAGAGATGGTTAGAACTTTGCTGACTGCATTAAAATTTCAAATACATTATTATGTAAAGGCAATATATAGTTTATGTTAACTTACATAAAGTATCTTAAGTTCTGGATTCGAATGATTTTTTCTCTTAAGTATAGCTAGCATACACAGGATAGGTAAAGATCTTTGCCCAGAAGTGGGATTATTTAAGTTATTATTTAAAATATTTTCTACGATTGCTTATCGTTTGACGTTTACACGTGTATAGCAGGAAGTGCGAAACTTATAGATAAATGCTAGGAAGTTAAATTGTTTATTATAATTGAAATAGTTATAGATTAGATAAAACACTATAACAACATGTGGTGACGATTATTTACGTTTTTTTACAACACTGCGTAAATATAGCTGTAAAGAGCGTAGAATCGTGACCTACCAATTTAGAAAATAAAAAAAAAGTTGGATTTTTGACAATTTCGATTTTAAATTTCGAATGTTGGCGTATTTCGCTGAGAATATTGAAATCCATTCGTATTCTGAAAGGATTAAAATTAAGTTGATTTTAATAAATACTATTCCTAGTACTTACATGGTCACATAAAATTTTAATTTAATGACTAACCCAATCATAAACAGTCGTCATTACAGTCTATTTTCTAAGTGGAGGTTATACTCATTTATTCCTGTACGTGCTGTCAATTTATATTACAGTTTATTAGCAAATGGCATCCAAGTAAATGGCATTAATTTTGAAATTAGCACCACTATTAACTAAGGTTATGTATTCTGTATGTTGGTTATGAATTATTGTAATTGGTTGCATTTACATCGTCAATTTAAATATGTAATGTAATGATTACCTGAAATTATCTTTCAAATTACTATTCGGATTTAGAAATATCTGTATATTGGTTAAGAAGTTAGATTGTCACAATTAAGGCTTGGGTACATAATTTAATCATATTATGGCAACCTTTATTGTAACATTATAGAACGCAAAGGAATAAATTAAAAACTATATTTAAAAAAGGAATACTAATATAATATAGAATAGAAGTGCTATTCTTTTTTCAAATTATATATAAAAAAAAGATAAACTGTTCTTTTTTTAAATATATAATTTGAAAAAAAGAATTCATTCATTAAAATTTCATCTTACTAAGACATGAAATTGCACCAAGTGCCAAGCCTTTACAAAAGAAAACACGTGAAATTTCTTTATTATCATAATAATTGTGTATATAACATAATGACCTATGAAATGTAGATAATTTGGCCTTATATAAGGAAAATACAAAAAAATATCGACACTAAATGAAACAAAATACGAGTAGAGTAGGTACAGTATGAGTTCGCGGCTGTTTCGCACAGAGTACGTCACAGGAAGGTCATATCAATGTTCCGACTGAACTGAATCGCATTATAAGTACCGGTATCATATCAATTTTATTGGTCTCGTTACTAGCAATTTGCGAATTATACGACACTTATGGCGTGCCGACGGAATTGTTCTAGAATGCTAACATGACTCTGGTATTGAAATATACCAAATCAAATCATAACATCTTTATTCATGTAGGTTATTACAGACTATTATGATATGTCAAATCCGTCAAATGCACTCCCATTTGAATTAAAAAGAATTGTCAAGAAAATCTTCTTTTATTATTTTTAAATGAGCATTATTATAAAAAGAGAAAATATAATTGGGTCATTTCAAATTATCTTCACTAGTAAGTTCCAGAGATTTCAAATCAATTATATCAAATCAAAATATCTTGATTCATGTATGTCTATTACAGACTCCTATGATATGTCAAATCTACCGTCAGTTCGGAGTGCTGTGAAGCCAAGAGGAACTAACTAGAAACTCAGCTCGTATTCTTTTCAAATAAGCTTGTACATGATTACAAAAATGCAGATTCATTTTTAAATATAATTAGGGAAATTCGTCTTTATAACTGCGTAATTATAGGTCGCCGGGTTGATTGCTGACGATGCGCCTATTCCGATGTCCGGTTTTGTTTATTCATATTACTTATATCGCCTTATGTATTTTGATCATTGATTATCATATGTAATCTAATCTGATGCTTGTCATGTCATATGCTAAATCCAAAGAAATCCTTTATTTGATAAACAGCGAAAGATATAGAATTAATACTTATTGGTCATATAATAAACAGCGCTTCTAACCCGGAACTAGTGACGTAATAATTCCGATTAATTTTTTGAGCAACTAGTTTAATTATATTAACGGCTACATTTATGGCTGTGTGCGTACGATACTTTAGCTTTTGTTATTGGGTAAAGAGAAAAAAAGGTTACAGAGCACTATAAAAAAAATTGTATAAGGTTAATATAGGTTTCGCGCCAAAACACACGAATCGTAATTAGAATTAATGAATTCAATTCTAATGAAATCCTTTACATTGTAGATAACAATTTTATAATCTCCGTCGCTCTTTACGATTTTAAAAGGTTATGTAAATTTGCTGCGTATATTTCTTTGATAGCTTAAAATGTTTATCTACTTTTATTTATATAACCGACCTTCATGTTTGCGGTTCTCATCAATCATATTCTAATCCTTTGAATTTTTACCTAAGACAAATAATTTTAGCTTGTATAATAACAAAAACATTTTCTCCTCTCTTCTGTAGCCAAAATTTTTGTTTTATAATTTTTTGTCTCTTTATACTCTACCATTATAAAATGCAACCGATTTTCAAGATTTACAATGTTTATTTTCTTATTTTCATAATTTCATCAATTTATTTTAAAGTTAATAACATAAATCTATTAATGTGGTTAGGTCAACGTTATTAAAATATTACAGAGTGCGTTTAGTTTATGTACACATAGGACATTTGAAAAATAAGAAAAACGGCTATCGGCATAGCTGTATGCGTCCTTTAATCTTTGCTATCGGATAAAGAAATAAAAAAAACATGTTACAGAGCACTATCATTATAAGCTAAAACATTCGAATATTAAAAAAGCAATTCAAATCGGATTTAGCATTATTACGTTCCAAAGTTGAATTTCATAAGAATTCATTAAATTTTATCTGATAAAAATAAAATCTGGTATATAACCGTATTATATATTCTTATATATAAAAAACAGTACTTATAAGCAGAGGTTTCAAATAATTTGATTGCCAGTTAACAGAGTTGAATAGTTCTGAGAAATGTACATGCCGCGGGCAACTGTTTGGCATGGACGGACGCACGCACAATTGCACAATTAAAATTATATTACGTACATGCCCATTTTTTGTGTGGAGGTATTCGCGTCTTCGTATTTTGGGAATGTTTTATTCGAGAAGCTTGTTGTAACGATTTTCTTTTTATTAATCTGGACCCACGCATCCTGTCAAATTGTTGGCACCAAAATTACGTGATACAGAGTAATAAGTCGTCTCCGTACGATTTTGTATAAAACCTCCTTGTTGTATATTCATTGATAAATTATTATTGTCTCATTAAAGGTAATTACATATTTTATTTTTGACTCTACAAGATCCCACATGAATGAAATAGTGATTGTCATTGGAATTTGGATAATTAAAATATGATAAATTATTATAGATCAATGATAACTTATTTAGTAAATTTATCGCTGAAATGGTGCAATAACCGGGTTATTGATGTTGTTGTAAAATAATTTTTGGTGACATGTTTAGTATATATTATTAGAAATTTAACTTGTGTAATTTTTTTTGTTCTATTTATCCTTTAAATGAAAGGCAAAGGAGACAGTGTCCATACAGCCATATTTTTTAATATCAAATTATAACTAGCTCCTACATGTCAGTTTGTTTGTAATGAATAATGACTAAAGAGTAAGTAATGTAACTCACCAGAGACAAGAGTCATCCAGATCTGTGCACCGAGATGCGTGGCCACTGCTCCTACGTATAAAGCTCTCCAGAGCCGTATACTAGCGTTTGGACTGGGTTTACTCAGCCACGTGAGGAGCATGACCGCTGCCAGTGCTATGTGGAAAGGCTGCGTAGTCTTCGTGACGACACTGTGGAAGAAATAATTGATATTACTAATATTGTACATACTGATATTTTCTTTTTTTTGTTACGTAACTGGAAAGAAGTTGAATGTCCACCTAAGATGTAGAAACCGTCACTTATAAACAAGAACAGAACCGCAGTAATCTATACAAATAAATGAAATTAAGTGCCTGTTTCTAATTCCAAATATTAGTAATACTCCAATTTTTCCATATATTATCGTGTCATAAATTTAATTGGACTCACGTCGTACTATAGAATGCCCTCGTTATTAACAAGTATGATATTTTAACGTAACGTCGCGTCGGTCAGTAAAAAAAAATGCGTTATGTGTAACATTTTATGATATTTGAACTTTATCTATTTAATTTTATTACATCTGGAATCTTATAAGTTTTTTATACATGAATACAGTGTTATATAGGAAATATTAATCGATGTTTCAATAATATATAAATTGCATATATTGATAATATTTATTTGGCCAGCACGAAGCGCATAGTATATTATATATGTAAACAAGCATACTATAGTGTTGTTATTACAAATATCACGGACAGATGCCTAAATATAAATATGCAGTGGAATACTAAGAATAAATTCTAGCAGATTTCCGAGAGGACAAGGTGACTAAATGACAGCTCGTTTAGTGATACGATAAAAAGAACATGTTATTTATCTCTTTTCACAACAACGAAGTAACGAGACGAAAGAACTAGTTACTCAATTCTTATATTCTAGTAATCACACAAAATTCCTAAAAATATAATTGTGAAAATTTATTTAATAGAGCAATACGCATTATAGCTTTTTCTTCTTGTAATGAGTTTGCGTTCCGAATGAGTGGTAGAATAAAAATATATAGGTAAGTATTCAAAAGTGCTTATATTATATTTACTTTTTGAATAAAGATTATTTGTATTCATATCCTAATAACAAAATTAGTTATTGGGTTATGCATTTGTTCTAAAAACGGAAAGTATTACTGAACAACTGACTATTACGTTTTTAACTACCCCTCTGATCGATCCCCCGTACAATTCAAACGGGGATCGAAATTACGACAGCCTGAGCCGAGGTTCGAACCCCTAGTGGTGCCCTCAGACTAAAGTCGTATCCGTCAAGCAGGAGTTGGCCTTCAGCCGCTCCATAAGTCCTTCCGCGGGTTTGGAGTGCCATCTGCACTCGCCCCCTAACGTCCGGTGAAGCTGTAAAGGCCAGCTGCGGCCAACAGCATTAGAGTAGTCCGAAAAAAAAAAAGTTTTTAACTACTACAAAGTGATTAAACATTTGTCGCCTATTTGTATTTATACGTGTTTATATATTTTATATGTACATTTTTTCTTTTGCTGTATAATGCAAATAAGATATTCTATCTCTCAATTGAATTCACAACGAACTATTATCATTTCATGGGAGTATTTTACTAGATATTGAATGGTATTATGAAACGATAACGCGACTTTCTCACCCCCAAGTCTTAATCACCACACATACGATAGACTTGTCATTCCACGAAGTAGCTAAATAATGACCTTTGTGTATAACAAAATACCAATTTGGATTAATCAGTATTTTAATCTTTATGATAACGTATTGCGTAAAAACGGTCGGTGTTACGTGAGACGTTACAAGTACGACACTTGGGACTAGTTTCAAGCGCTGTATAGGAAAGTATTTTGGAGGGAAACTTATAGGACTACTTTTTAATTCAACCGTTTTTTTACATGTAACGAAATATAATATATTTCTAAGATTAAGCAACTTGCAAATTATGTTATTGTAGGCTGAGAAAAGCAGTGAAACAACTGGACATGACGTCATAATAATCTTCAACAGTGATAACACATGAGGATCATCGTGGAATAACATTGTAAATCTTTTATTTTCCACACAGTTCGTATACCTGACAGTAGCAACTTTTTTATGCGCAATATCTCTAATATCTCTTATCTCTAATTTTCTACTATATTCTAATTTTAAAATGTTGACATTTCATTGATTTTTTTTTACTTTTAGTAGGATTTCCTTGTTACTACCGTAGCAATTAAGTTACTATAAGCTGTTTTTATATAAGCATTTTAAGAATTTACAATGTTTTGAAATGTTACATATATAAAATAATTATTATTATTTATAAGAAAAATATGTATGTCAAACATATCATTGCATATTTACGTCACAAAAGCACCGGGTGTACCAAATCAGATACAGAACGGTGGTGCGTGACTTCTGTCGCAAAAGCACAGATTAATTGATAGTTTCTAAGCTCCTTTCAACGATTAGATATAGAGACGGCCAGTTCGCACGTATTATTTGTTCCACACTCTCCTTGTACGATGTGACGAATAGATAGTGTGCATGACGGTCAATAACCGGTGACAACAATCAAACAATATTAGCACCGCTGTCCAAAGGTGTCATCATAAAAAACTTATCGAAATCATTTATAATTTAATAGTACTATCTCTCGATAAGGATGTATGGACGTGCCTCTTTACACGTTCATAGTACAGCCATCGCAAAACTGCCCAATAAGGTCATACATAAAATGATATGGATTCTGTGGTACCTTTGTATTTCTATGTCGTTAAGTCGTTTAACACTACTTCACCATAGGATGATCATAGAATTGTATGCGCAAATATTTCATCATCAATCTGTTCTTGTTGCATAGTTATTTTCTTTGTATATTACTATGTAATTACAAAACATACTTCTTTTTTTTCTTTTCACTATCTCGGCACATTTGTGCGTTTGCCAAAGACAATAAAAATAACTAAAAACGTTTATTAATATTAAAAAAAAATAGTCTAGTATCTATAGTTCAAGAGCAAAATCAAAAATAAAAAGATAAATTCGTTTATGCAACTGAAGATGTGATTAGGAAATATATACAAAACCGTATACGGATGTTTAGGCAGTATGGTTTGTTGTCTTAGTCTGTTATACTGGAACGATTCAGACAAAAAAATATATCTCTTGAATTCATTTAGACTAGTTTTTAAATAAATTAATAACCAGTGCACACAGACAGAATTACTTAGAATAAAATGTTTTTGAATCTATGGTATATTTTTTTAAATTACTATTCTATTCTTCAGTAGACTGCAGAGATTCAGTTTAGATTTCTTAAAACATAATGTTTTTTTTTTCAGTGAAAACAGCAATATTTATTTGTTCTGTTTGAGGAATTGTTGATACAACTGATACAACGTATGGAATATTATTTATACAAGCAATTTACAACTTTTTTTGTAATAATTAAAGTTTAAAATAGTATATCACGTAGCGTCGGTTAGTGGGTTATACAAATAAAGGTTATAATGTCATGTAGAACATTTAATTATCAAATTCAAGGACTGATTGCAGATTTATTATCATAAGAATATAAAAAAAGACTACATATAAATCAGAGATAAGAGTACTCTTGCTTGAAATATTTATTTCTTTTGTATATAAGTGCAATAAAGGGTTATAAATACTTATGAAGTTATATAAATCTGTATATACATATATGGAGTACCTATATCAAATGTATAGTTCAATTATAGATTCAATTGAAATATATTTTTTTTGTAGGACTTTTTAGCCATTTATGAACGTCATGCTTTTGAAATAATATTTTTCCCCTCCATGACATTTTACTTCTCTAAAATGGTAACAAATGAGTATCACGGCATCATTATAGCACGATAAAGTGATATCCGTAGGCTGTTTATGTATATAGGCGAGTATTACTGTTTACCGTCAGTTTGTTTGCCACTTTAATTAGGTACATAAAACAATTAGAGAGTTTTCATATACTTTCAACGCTTTTTACGTATTAAATAATTACATATTATTATAAATGAAATATGCATATCCCTGATAAGATAAATTCTTAATTTAGAACAGATAATTAGAAATACATTAGCCTCGTGTAACGGTTCGCGCAAAAGTTTCATGTTAACTGAATTTTACTATCATTAGATAGTAGAAAATGAAGTCACTTCAGTTGACTGTTCGCTTACATTTTTTTAACTACGCTACGGATTTTATAGCTGTTTTTAGAAATAGATAGAGTCAATCAAGAGAAAGTTTAAGCGTATAATACATGTACACCCGTGCGAAGCCAGGGCAGGTAGCTAGTATATATATAAATAACACAGCGCCCACTACTCTGAAACTAAACAGAAGTTCCACTATGCGTCTGATAAATGTACTATATATTTACATATACAATACAATCATACTTGTTGAATATAATTATTTGTATTCTGCGGGAATCGAACGAGCTACCAAAGGTAAATAAAGCAGTGTTATACTACTACAGCATTGTAATCTTTTCTTTCGTTTCATTATTATCATTCCTTATACTTGCTTTTAAAGTGTCGAGGAAAAAAGAATAAGTACGTACAATGAATTATTTATAACTGCTGAGAACAATGCATGGTTTTAATGAATACAGTGTTTCGTGGTTTTGCCCGAAATCGTTTTTAAATTTACGTGCATTGTATGCATGCTTTGTATGACGTCAGATTTTCCACAAGATTGAATGCTCCATGTAATGCATGGACCAGGAATGAAATAATAGGACGACTGATCACAGAGTATTAATATTTTAACAGCTTATTGAATGTTCAGCTTCGAAATATACCATAGATAACAATTTTATTTGCATCTTTAATATAGATTATAAAGTTTCAGTTACAAGTGATATAATGTAGATTAAAAAGAGAGAAATGTATAAGAAAAAGTGTCAACAATACAATACAAAATCATTAAACTTGCTGCCTCAAAAGTTCAGTATCAGTTTAAGAATTAAAATATTGATCTTCAGTTATTATTCCCAGGATAATTTTCTTTCTATTTTTCCCTCAATAATAATTTTCATAAATTCATCACGTCTTTTTGTTTCCTTTCGGACTACTCTAATGCTGTTGTCCGCAGCTGGCCTTTACAGCTTCACCGGACGATAGGGGGCGAGTGCAGATGATACTCCAAACCCACGGAAGTACTTATG